CCCCTCCCTCCCTTACATTCTCTCATCCCGCGACGACTCTCTTTCCGCCGCCCAAACTCGTATCATTTCATCGCGGGCGTGATAGGACGCCCAAAGTGGCCTAGACACACGCACAAAAACACACACAGATACTCTCCCCCTCCCTGCTCTCCCGCGCCGCTCTTCTGCAAACACTTTCTCCGTTCCCTCACCTCCTCCCTTCCTCACTTTCATCCCCCAACTCCCTGTCCCCCTCGCACTCGCGTCAAACATATATTCAATTCAGCTCGCGTTTTCAACGGCACAAAGCCTCGGGGTGTCTCATCCCCCAAAGTGTCCTACTGAGGAAGCCCGGGGTCCCCCTCCTCCGGGACGCACCGAGGACGCGTGGCGAGGGCGCTTACAACCTGACCCTACACTGAAAACGCCAGTGTGTGAAATTGGAACACTTGCAGGTGTGTGAATGTCGCACACCTGTAGGTGAGTCAATGTCGCACACCTGTAGGTGAGTCAATGTCGCACACCTGTAGGTGAGTCAATGTCGCACAATTGTAGGTGGGCCAATAACGGACACTTGTAAGTGTGTCAATGTCGCACATCTGTAGGTGTGTAAATGTCGCTCACTTATGGGTGTCTCAATGCCCATTCGTATACTTAAGGGAGAAAGGGTGAGGATTATCTTTTGAAATTCACACATTTGTGCCCCCTTCCATGTGTACAATTGTCGTTCACACACCTACAAGTGTGCGACATTCACACACCTACAGTGTGCGACATTTACACACATGGTTTTTTGGTGTGCTACACGGCCAACACTATCAAAAATAACTCTCTGAGAGCGTCCGTGTGAGAGAGAGAGCGAGATACTGGTCTCGGCAAAAGTATTGCATGAAAAAAGCAGAATTATGAACAGGTGAAAGAGTAATTATAAAAGTAAAAAAATATACTCTCCGGCGGGGAATCGAACCCCGGTCTCCCGCGTGACAGGCGGGGATACTGACCACTATACTACCGAAGATTACGTGGGGAGCGCGTGCCGCGGGCGCAGAGCGACGCGGCGGTGGTGCGAGACCACGTGCACGACCCTGGCGGTGACGCGATCCCCCCACCACCGCCACCGTCCCAGCGCGCTGCCCGCGCAGCCCGCGCCACGCCACGCCGCGCGCCATCGCCCAAATAGAAGCGCGAAACACACAAGGAAAAAGCCGGAAAAAGCGATTAGCTACACCCAGAAAATGGAAGTCTTCAAACAAGGCAAAATGCGTTCCTTCAACGCTATTTTTACCTCAAAAAGATACAAGGAAAATTGTCTTTGACTTAAGGCAAATGACGTTAAAATAAAGTAAAAAATTCCTTTAGATCAACTTAATTTTCTTGAAATTAATGGAAAAACCTTGGGCCAAGGTCAAAAATTACGTTGTATTTTCTTTATAAAGAAAATTCCTTGGTTTAAGGATACTATCTTCTGGGTGTACAGCCAATCCAAAGGCTAAATAAGCGGTGTAACCGGTTATTTAGCTAGCTAAAGACATGTAGCTACACATATATTTAAAAATTTTGCTATGTGTAGCTATTTAGAACTAAATTTTTAACCGTGTTTTGAGACCTAGAGCTCCTTTTTTTTTAGGATACGCAGCTACATTTTAATCAGCTCAATTTTTAGCTAGATAGTTAATTAATTAGTTAACGTATTTGGCTATTAGTTTGGATATACAGCTCATCTTTTTCCGTGCATAGAGCCTCGAATGTGTCAAAACAAAGAGTATGCCATTCAAATAGGCCACTAAAGTGACATCGAGACAGCTATACTATAACGTGACATCCACTCGCATCCACTTCACATCCACAAAAACAATTTAGACGTACGCGAAAAATGTTTGTCCTGCACTATACGTGCATTAATTTATCATGCCCTTCCACACACACTATCTAAACCACGCGATCGGAGAGGAGTTTAGAGCCAAGAGAATGGTTACCCCCTATACTTCTTAAAAGCAATTCGTAACATCCTGACTTAGTGCAACGTCTTTAACACGTTGCCTGTGGCTCATTTTTGGTGCCTATGATTCAACATGGGAGCGTGACCACATAGTGATCACGTCGCAGGGAATGAGTTCAACTCTCTGCGCCCACACGAGAGCCAACGGACTTGCAGACTCGACATCTCCGCCACGGCCAGCCAATCATCAGCGGGAGACGCTATAAAGCGCGCACGAACAGGGCAACGAGGGAATGCAGCCGCCGGCAGCCGCCCGCCCGAATGCACCGGCAGCGATTCAAAGAAGGCGGGGGAGGGGCGAGACAAGAGGGGGGTGCATTACCATTCACTAGTCCCTCAATCAGGGGCGCTCGGGAGAGGGCTCGCTGCATGCCCCGCACGGAGCGCGGAGGGGAGGGGGGGGGGGGGGTAGTTACCCCTAAACTACTGCAGGGGTAGTTACCCCTCCGCGGAGGGTGAGCAGCTCGTGGTGGCGGCCCCCGCCGTCGTCCCGTGCACAAGTAACAAGCGGGATCTGGGCGAGGCATTTTGCAGGAGGGGCCGGGATCTCTCCCGCTGCTTCCACTCGTCCCACGCGCACCAGGCAGAAAACTGTCTGCAAACTAGCACCACCACCACCACCACCACCACCACCACCGGGCGGGGCGTCGTCGTCGTCACCGTCGTCACCCAGATGGAGAGGAAGTAGCGGGGGCGGCGGCGGTGCCAGGAATGCACGCCTGTCCGTCCGACCAGAGTCCTTAATTACATTTCATTGGAAATGTCCTCGTCACCCGCCTCCTCCTCCTCGTCGTCGTCGTCCTCCTCCACCGTTCCTGCAGACAACCATAGCCCCCATAGCCAGCGCAGCGCGTCGCTGAGATTGGCAGGGGCGAGCCCGACCCGACACGAACGTTGTCGGCCAGGACCTGTAGACTGGACTTGGACATAGACCTGGACCTCGTTGTCGCCTCCTTGACCCTTGATTCCCCCCCCCCCCAATCTTAAATTCCCGCGACCGGCAGAGAGAGAGAGAGAGAGAGACACCAAGAAGTGAGTCGGGAAGAAAAGTAGCAGATATTCTGTTTGACTTGGCCAGACCCGGCGGCCCGGCCGGCTCAGCGCGCGGCAAAACCAAGCCAATATAACGAGGCGGGGATTACGGGACGATTTGCATGTCGGATTGAATTACCCGGCTGGACTGCAAGGGGGGAGGGAGGGGGAGGGAGCGGGGGTTCCTCGACATATTGAATGCGTCCTACCTCCGCTACTTCGCCTCGTGCTCCGCTACCTCGTCGAGCTCCTATGGGATCCAATCCAGTCTTGAAGGCATCCGCGGGCGTGTACCCGGAGGACGTACCTGATGATGGGACTGCAGCTCCACGGCGACGGCCGCACTCGCAGCGACTGCACCTCGGCGGGAGAGACGCAACAGTCGCGCCCGGCCCGCATCCACGGCTTCCTTGTCCCGGAAGGAAAAGCTGGGAGCTGGGCCTGCAAGAGGAATACATTTTACATTTTACGGCAAACGATACAGCTAGCATTCTAAACGTACCCCCCCCCCCCGCAACTTTTCTTCACACCTCACCTTTCACTTGGTCGAACCAAACCGCTTCAAAACTCATATATCTGCTCAGGCACGGACCAAAGTATGGTAAAAAGCAAGAATGCAGATTATATTTGGGCCAAGGCCAAGAACTTAAATTTTATTTATTACAAAATGAACATAGCCAAAAATAATTGGAAACAAGAGTTCTTAGTATCACTGGTGATTAATTTAAGGATTAGAAAGGTACAAGTTATCTTGGAAAATACGGTGATTATCGTGATTGTAAATCATTCTGCCACTCAATTTTAAGTGTGATTTTTGTGTGTGTTTGACGAAAACAAGTAAGTCGGTCAATTAATATGCCGTTCGATTTAATGTGTGTTGGGTTTGGACGTGTCTCTCGCGACAATTTAGAAAGATACAAGAGATAACTTTTCAGAAGTATTGGCAGACATGTCACTATTCACAAAACCTCACTAACATTCATGACGAAAACTAACAAGCTCATAAACTAATCTGCCGTTCAATTTTTGGTGTGTTGGGTTTGAACGTGTTTAGTGCGACTCCTTGAACGAGTAAAACTTTTTTCACATTGATCACACTTGTATGGTTTCTCACCAGTATGTGTCCTAATGTGTGTAACAAGATTTCGTTTTAAAGAAAAACGCTGCTGGCAGGAGTCACAATGATATGGTTTCTCGCCCGTGTGCGTTCTGATGTGCTCAGTCAAGCTACGTTTGTGGGTAAAGCACTGCTCACATGTTTCACACTGATAAGGTTTTTCACCTGTGTGTTTCCTAATGTGTCTAACAAGATGATTACTTAGAGAAAATCGCTGCTTGCAGAAGTCGCACACATAGGGTTTCTCGCCTGTGTGGGTTCTGATGTGCCCCGTCACGATTCCTTTTTTAGTAAAACTCTTCTCACACGTTTCACATTTGAATGGCCTCTCGCCGGTGTGTACACGAAGATGCTCTTCCAGTCTAGATTTCGAATTTAAAGTTTTGCTGCAGTATGTACACTTGAACCCTGCATCGGTCAGTTTATGCAAGTCTTTCTTCGTAGATCTACTCGTTTTACGACTCTCGTCACCATGGCTGTAAGTCGGTTTGCTCAAACCCCCGCCATCCTGACCATCCTCGCCGAGCACGTCACCACCGTCGAACTCGGCGAGCGGATGATGCTGAGAGTAGACCGCGTCGACGACGGCCCCAACGCTATTGGCGAGGTCCTCAGAGTCCTCCTCGCTGCAACCGCGGAGCGAGAAGGTCCCGGTCACTACCAGCTGCAGCCGCTCGTCCTGGACATCGTCGGGATCATCGCCGTGCTCGACACAACATGGCTCGGCCTTGATCTCCGGGTCCGTTTTCCACTCGGTTAACTCTCGTCCTGGTGGATCATCGCCGTGCTCCACGCCGCTCGCCTCGGCCCCGATATCTGCTGCGTCCTGCTTCGAGTCTGCCGCCTCTCGTCCTCGCGGTGTCCCGGGCCGCGCACCTGCCGACAGCAACAGCATCGCGTTAGAGCTCGCCCAGATCGCCTGCACCAGGGACCGCCCCGCGACCGACATGACGTGCACGACGGGGGGCGCTGCAGCTTAGCCCGGGGAGGAGCCGGCGGCGGGGACTGGGCCTGCACCAGAGACACGCGTCAGGTGTGAGGTGTGCGGCAGCGATTGATCGGAAATAACGTCTCAAACACAACGTTGGGGAGCCACTCATCTCTCCGTTATAGCCCTAAAATTAAGCAAAGCACAGTGTCTCAAACAAAATACGGAAGACAGAAAATTCACATCAAAAAACCAAGAAGGCTGG